AGAGTGGAAAGAGTCAAGAATGGTTACCAGTTCTCATCGATGAAGCAACGTATGTGAGGCAGGCACCGTGTGGTAAATTTTAAATACATGAATATAGTGGTACAACGTGCTTTCAAAAATGGCCACAGCAGGGAACCAGCAGTTAGCATAATGGCTATGTCACTGGACTCCCACGTAGTCAACCAGGGTTCACGTCCTGGACCCGGTGGCTTAAAACTCACGCTGGGCGCGTGTGTGTGCGTGCCTAAGATCCCTAGAGGAGAATGGAGGAGAAGGGATTGCGGCATGGCCATCCCCTCTGGGGGGTGATTTCTCACTTTCTGTCTCTCTGTCTCTTTCTGTCTGTCTGGCGAGCGCACACGCCCTATAGCGAAAACCTCTCCAAAAAAAAAAGCCACAGCAATAATACTTACCATCTCACGCGACTTTTGCAATGTGACTTTCACTCTTTTCTCTCAAAAGGTAGAACTCATCCCTCCCATTCTTAAATCTGGTGTGCCCCTATAGCCTACACTGACTGACTAAACGTAGTAGAAATGGTAATTAGCAGCTTCCAAGATGAGCCTTCAGAGATCTGCAGCCTTGGTCTTTGCGGCTTAGAACACTCCTTCTTAGAACCTCAGAGCCATGCTGTGAGGAGGCCAAAACAGCCACATCAGACAACCATATGGAGATTACCTGACTGCCAGCCGGGTAAACAGCCATTTTTGACCTTTTAGTCATGTCAACACTTAACACCTGGAGTGGAGTGGCGTCATACCAAATAATCGCTGCTCTAAGCCACTAAATTTTAAGGTGATTTTTTTCATGAAGGGATAGACAACTAAGCTATCTTGTTTGATTTTACAGTAATCCCATGAAGGTAGACGCTTAACTTTCTTTCACAGCAAACTGGAGACCAAATACTTAAAGCAACTTATCTAATGTTACACAACTTTTATGTTGCTGTGCTGAGATTAATGTCAGTTATGGAACCTGAGTAACTAAATAATCCGTAAGCCCATTAACCAAAATAGAGTTGTAATAAGAAATCAATTTAGAGAACAATCAGACAACTTGTTATTCTTTTTAAAACCATATTGTAGGGACCAGCAGGTGGTGTGGTGGTTAAGGAGCTGGACAATCCCACATGGCCACCCACGGTTCGAGTCCCAGACCTGGTGGCTTGCTTTTTCATTTTCCCTATCTCTCTCCCTCTGTCTCTCTCTCTGGTCAAATTAAAATAAAATGAATGAATAAATAAAATAAATAATTCTTTAAAAAATATTGTAAACAAAGTTCAGTAAATCGATAAAGCCTAAATGAAATTAGCCAATAAGCACAGATGAGACATCTCGGAAAATAGAGGCCATTTGCTAACCACCCATTTTACCTTCAAGGCTTTAGTTTGCTTTAAAGAGGAGCGATATTGTAAAAAGAGTGTTTATAAACTGAAGTCAAACAAAAACAGTGAGCAATAGTTTAGCTTTTATGGTCCACTACTCCAACGTATGAATAAATGTAAGTCACTTTCTTTCCTTCCCCTCTCTCCCTCCCTCCCTGTCTTAAATATTAGGTAATCAGAAAAATCATGAAGTATTTTTCATGTTTTTCTATGCAAAAGTGCATCATGACTTTTCCAACGTGCCCTAAAAGTCTGTCCCTGTACTAGTTTCTGATGCTATAGTAATGACTGACTCCATCACTACTCTTGCCAAGAAATGCTTGTATGATAAAGTTAAAAGAGAGGGAAAGGGATACTGAACATGTCATCACAGAGACATAAACACGAGATAGAACAGAGAGCTCTGGGGGCCCTGGGTGTATTACCTACTTGATATAAGCAAGGGATGGAAAGAGAGTGAATCAGAAAGTTGTTGACTAAGTTGAGCCCTCTAGGATGAGGAGGAATTCATCTATTAAGGGCAAAGAAACCAAGACCACATGCAAAGGCATGAATTGGAGAGGATCACTGGTTCTTCAACCACAAACTCTGCACTTTCTCCGGAGTGCCATGTTGTGTTGAAATGGGCAGGAGGCAATAGAAAACATGACCCTGAAGAAGAGAAAAGGAATCCTGAACATAGGTCTTTCTATCAAGGACAAAAGGAACCCACAGAGTAAGGAGTTCTAAGAAAACAAAAGTGATATGAATTCTAGTGCCTTTGGGGAAGATCAAGCTTGTTTCATTGCAGAAGATAGATTAAAGGGGCCTAAACTACAACCAGCACACTAGCGAGGAAGCTAGACTTGCAATGAGAAAAATGGGGAAGTTACCAATGATGTAAGAGGTTGATGAGAAATGAGGTATTGCTGAAAGAAAAAAAAAAGTTGCTGAATTCAAGAGAAAGAAAAGAGATTATGAGGACTTAATAAATGAACAGATAATATCTGCCCCCCGTAGTTAAATGTTGGTTACAAACCAATAATGTGTAATGAATTAAAATAATTTACACAGTTCTCTTCAGAATTATCTTTTTAAATGGCATATAATAGATAGTAATAAATATAATAATCTCTTAATTATTTTTTGCTAAAAGGCATATGTGCTTCCTTGAGAGAGAAAGAGACAGAGAGAAAGTAGGAGAGAAAGAGGGCCATTGAGAAAGCATCCCCCAAGAGGGATGACAGAACTGCAACCCTCTCTCCTCCACTCTCCCCTCAGGATTTTGGGGACACACATTCAGGTGCCCAGCATGTTTTCAAAGCCACTGGTTCTGAGACTCAAATCACATAGTCAGCCATGAAAGATTGAGCCACCTTAACCACCACACCATCTGGCTGGCCTAAATATAATCATTTTAAGTTTTGTGTAGAGAGGAATTGTGGGCTCAGTGCCTGTTATCTGGAGATTTGACAGCGATATTCCAGAATCCAACTGGAATTTCAAGAATTCCCTTTCAAAGATAGCTGTAGTGACCAGGAATGTTCATGTGTGAACAAGAACACAGGAGAAAAAAATCCCCAACATAAAGGTCGTAAAAAAGACCCTGAAAAACGATGGGGTACTTAAGAGGGAGTAGAAAGTATTCTGTGCTAGCTCAGCTTTATGTTATCTTATTTATTATTAAAGTTACAATGTATATCTTGTAGGCAAAGTTTATTGCACTAATTAACTCATTAACAACCTCTAGAGGGAAGCCAGACTTCTCTGCAGGTTGGTTTCCTGAATTTTAATGATCCAAATAAGAAAAAAATCAGTGTGTCAGGTTCTGGGAAAGCCCCAGGACTCCTCAAACAACTCTGATTTATTCGGCATATCATATCATTAAGAAGTGAGAATTTTGGATTAAAATAGCAAACCATGTCCTCAATTCACTTATGACACAAGAGAGTTGACTAATTTAAACAAGCAAGATTTATAGCATTTTAATTTAGTGGTAAAAAAATTGGTGATAACTCACTCCCCCTTTTCTAAATTGGAGTGGAGGGTAGGTTATTTCAGAATCTACACTCACCAAGCTGTCTGTCATTTCTGAATGGGGAGAGTAAAGATGAAGAGTGGGACAGGAAGGTCTTTGGGGGATAACTTAAACTCCAAGGCACTGGTCATTTAATTGACCTTTTGGATATGGTTCATGATATTCTGAATGATGTCCAGTGTAGTGCCCTGGCCTCCGACATCTGGGGTATGGGTATTTTTATTGTCCATAGATGCCAAGACGGCAGTACGGATAAGGGTGGCATAGGAGTGGAGTTTGAGGTAATCCAGCATGATGCAACTTGCCAGCAGGATGGCAGTAGGGTTCGCTATATTTTTGTTGCATAAACTCTTGCCTGATTGCCTTGAAGCTGTCTCAAACACTGCATACATGTGTCCATAGTTGGCTCCCGGTACAAGGCCTGCTCCCCCAACGAGCCCTGTGCAGACATTGTTGATAACGCTGCCGTAAAGATTGGGCATGACCATAACATCGAACTGCTGGGGCCGGGATACCAGCTGCATTGTGGTGTTGTCCACAATCATGCCTTCCAAAGTGAGCTTTGGATAACAGGAGGCCACCTCCTTACAGCACTGGAGAAAGAGACCATCTCCCAATTTCATGATGTTGGCCTTGTGCACAGCTGTCACTTTTTTGCGTCCCATTTTCTGAGCCAGCTCAAATGCATATTTAGCAATGCGCATCGACTTGGCCTTAGTAATGATCTTTAGGCTCTCTATCACTCCTTTTACACTCTCGTGTTCCAAGTTGCTGTATTCGCCCTCTGTGTTTTCCCGAACAACTAAGATGTCTATGTCCTTGTGCCGGGTCTCCACACCTGGCAGATTCTTAAAGTGAACGACGTTGGCATAGAGGTCTAGGGTAGTGCGAAACACATTGTTGAGGGACTTGTGAGATGGTGGCAGGGTGTGGTCAGTTTCAATGTTGCCCTTCAAAGCCACGCGGTTTCGGCGGACTGCCATGATGCCGTTGTGAACGTCCTCTTCACAAGCAGTAGCAGTTACCCACACTTCCTCGAAGTCCACAGGCACACACGCATGTCTGAACACAGCCTTGACGTGCAGCATAAGCTCAGGCCCAAGGCCATCCCCTGGGATCATCGTCACCGTGTGCCGTCCCCCATACTTGGTGGATAGAGGAATGTTGCCATGTAAAAAGAAGTTCCTCATGGGGATCTTCTGGCCAAGAAAAATCTCCCAAGAATGGCCAAGAAAGGAAGGTTGGAAAATTGCCTTGGCAGAGCAAATGGCTGCAGTCAGCATCTTCAGTGTCATGATTGTTGAGACTGATTCAAATTATGTGAAAACATAAACTCTTCCTCTTGCTTTGAACGAGTGGATCTCTGAATCTATAATTCTTGCCTAGGTCACAATTCTCTTTTTCTTCATATTCTATTCTAGACAGACATTCTACTGTAGTGAGAGCTAGACAAGAGAAGTGATGTCTAGACTGTAGAAAAGACAAACATTTGGCAGTTTAGATAATAACTGATTAGGCACATTCATGTGCTAAGTTCTGTAGGGCATATTTTTAAAAGAGACTTTATATTTGTAGAGAAGTTTTAGAAGTGAAATTTGCTACAATACTGACTTTTAGATATTTTAGAGAAGTTACAGCAAAATTAAGTGGTGAGTACAGACAATTTCCACATACCCTGCCCCAGTATAGGCATAGTTTCCTCCACTATAAACACCCGGCATAGGAGTGGTACATTTGTTAGGACTGATGAACCAACAATGACACTGTAGCATCACCCACAGCCAAAGGTTGACTTTGGGTTCATTCTTGGTGTTGTAAATTCTGGGTTTGGACAAATGTCTTAATGGAATATTTTCACCACTATAGTTTCAAACAAAATAATCTCACTCTCTTAAATATCCTTTATATGTCACCTAGTCATCTCTCATTCCAGAACCCCTGGTAACCAATAATTATTTTACTGTCTCCATAGTTTTACTTTTTACAGAATTCCATATAATTGGAGCCATACAGTATGATATTTTCACATTTACTTTTTTCACTTTGTAATATATATTTATGATTCTTCCATGTCTTTTTATGGTTGAGTAGTGCATTTCTTTTCACCACTGAATAGTATTCCATTATTTAGATGTACCACTGTTTATTTTTCCATTCACTGACTGAAAAAATATATTGGTTGCTTCCAAGTTTGGGTAGCTATATATATATAAAGTTGAAATAAACATCCACATGTAGGTTTTTGTGTTGTCCTAAGTTTTCAACTCATTTGGGCAAACGCCAAGGAGAACAATTGCTGGATTATATAAGAATGTGTTCAGTTTTGTGAGAAACTTCCAGTCTTTCAAAGTGGTTGTATCATTTTACATTCCCAAAAGCAATGAGTAAGAGTTCTTGTTCCTCCATATCCTTGCCAGGATTTGGTGGTGTTCGTTTTATAAATTTTGCCCTTGATAATAGATGTACAGTGGTATCTTGTGATCATATTGTTATAATTTGTAATTCCCTAATAACATATGGTACTGATGATCTGCTCATATGCTCCTTAATTATTAGTATATCTTCTTTGGTGAGGTATCTGTTCAGGTCTTTGCCCATTTCATAATTGGGTTGCTTATTTTTAAAGTACTTTTTGTCTATTTTAGATAATAATCCTTTATCAGTATGTCTTCTGCAAATACTTTCCCCCAGTCTGTTGTTGTCTTATTGTCTTGGTAGTGTGTTTTGCAGAGGAGTTTTTTTTTTTAATTTTTTATTTTAATAGTTCCAGCTTTTCAATTATTTTTCTCATGGACTATGCCTTTGATGGTCTATCTAAAAGGTCATTTCCATACCCAAGGTCACCTAAAATTTCTATGTTATCTTCAAGGAGTTTTACAGTTTTCCACTTTACATTTAGGTCTATAATGCATTTTGAGTTCATTTTTGTTAAAGGTGCACAATCTGTGTCTATATTTATTTATGGACATCTAGTTATTCCAACACCATTTGTTGAAGACTATTTCCATTATATTGTCTTTGCTTCTTTGTCAAATATCAATAGACTTTATTAATGTGGTTATATTTCTGGGTTGTTTTCTTCCATTAATCTATTGTTTCATTAGTAACACAGTGTCTTAATTACTGCAGTTTTATAGTAAGTCTTAAAATTGAGACATGTCAATCCTTCAACCTATTTCTTTTCTTTTATTATTGTGCTGGCTATTCTGGGTCTTTTGGCTGTCCATATTCCCTTCAGAATCAGTTTATCAATATCACAAAATATTGGATCAACTGGAAAGTTATGACACATTTTTGCATAGAAAAACATAAGAAAATATGTCATGATTTTTCCAACTTAACAACTTCTTGAGATTTTTTTATTGGAATTGCATTGAATCTATAGATGATATTCAGTAGATTTGACATCCTAACAATACTGAGTTTTTCTACCCATAAACAGATTTAGCTAGGATTTCTAGAATGATGTTAGAAAAGTATTGTGACAGGAGCTATCTTTGCCTTCTTTCTAATCTTAGAAAAATTTCTAACTTCTTATTAACTATGATGTTGCTGGTGAGTTTCTGCAGATGTCTTTTTGAGGAAGTTCTTTATTCTTATTTTGCTAATATTTTTAATCATGAATGGGTATTGGATTTTGTTGGATGGTTTTTCTGCATTCATTGTTAGGCTCATGTAATTTTTCTTCTTTAGTCTGTGGATGTGATGTTCCATTAACTGATTGTCAAATTCTAAAACAGTCTTGTCTACCTGGTTTAAATTACACTTGGTTTTCGTCTACATACACATTTTTAAATTATTGGGTTTCATTTAATAATATTTTGTTGAGAATTGTTATATGTATGCTGACAAGAGATACTGGTCTTTATTTTACTTTTCTTGTAGTATGTTTTTCTGGTTTTGGTGTTAGCATAGCTGATCTTATAAAATGAATTTGGAAACATTCCTTCTGCTTCTATTTTCTAGAAGACATTGCAGAGAATTGGTATAATTTCTTGAAGTTTTTGTAGAATTCATCACTGAACCCATCTGTGTTTATAATATTATTATTAGCTCACTTTTAAAAATAGATATAGTCCCGTTCAGATGATCTATTTCTTTTCTTGCGAGTTTTGGTAGATTGTGTCTTTCAAGAAAATGATCCATTTTCCTAAGATTTATTCATTATCCTAGAAATGTCCAGGAAACTAGAGTGATGTCTCTTCTTTCATTATTGATACTAATATTTTGCATCTTTTTTTTTTTTTTAGTTAGTTTTGCCAGAGGATGTCTTTGACCATTCTTTGGTGCTAAAAGAGACTACCCAATTGGATAATTTATAATAAATATAAATTTATTTGGCACATGATTTTGGAAACTGGAAAGTCCAGAAGCATGGCATTAGTATCTGAAAAGGGTCATTCCATGGTGAGAGGGCAAAAGGTGGAAAAATTACATAAGACAGAGAGAATTTATGAGGGGTGGACTCTTTCATAAAACAAGCCATTCTCTTGAAAATACCCCACTCCTGCAATAGTAACAATCTATTCATAACAGTTTTGCCTTCATTTCCCATTTTCCTCTTATTGAATCTCATGTCCCAAAACTGTTTCATTGCAATCAAATTTCCACCATATTGATTTTGGGGGACATGCTCAAATCATAACAAGGGTTATCAATTTTATTGATCTTTTCAAAAACCAGATTGTATTTTTGTTAATTTTCTCTATTTTTCTCTTTCAATTTCATTGATTTCTCCTCTAATTTTTATTTCTTTTCTTCTGCTTCTTTTGGAATTAATTTTCTCTTTTTTTTCTAGTTTCCTTTGGTAGAAACTTGGATCACTGATTTCATAACTTTTTCTTTTTTCATAATATATTCATGCAATGCTATAACTATCCATTCAAGCACTGATTTAAATTCAGTCTACAAATTTTGATAAGCTGTATTCATTTCATTTAGTTTGAAGTGTTTTTATCTCTAGAATTTATTCTTTGACCCATGAGTTAATGAGGACCATGTTGTTTAATCACTTTTTGGAAATTTCTAGCTATCCTTCTGATATTCATTTCAATTTTAATTCCACTGCAACCTGAAAGAAGACATTGCATGATTATTTCTGTTCTTCAAAATTTCCTAAGTTGTGTTTTATGGTCCAATATATGGCCTATTTTTGTGAACATTCCATATTAGCTTTAGAATGTGTTCTGCTATTGTTGGATTGAGTTGCTAATAGATGTCAATTACATCCACTTGGTCATTGGTACTTTTGAGTTTAACTATGCCCTTACTGGTCTTCTGCCTACCTGATCTGTTTACTTGTAACAGTAGAGTGTTGAATTCTCTAACTAAAATATTGCATCTATTTTTCCTTCTAGTTCTACAGGTTTGACTCATATATTTTGATGGGCTGATGTTAGGAATACACATGAAGGATTTTGTCTTCTTGAAGAATTGACTCAATATCATTATGCAACATACTAGTTATTTCTGATAACTTTCTCTGCTTTGAAGCCTACTGTATCTGAAGTTAGTATAGCTACTCTCACTTTCTTTTAAAATATTTCATTTCATTTATTATTATTATTATTATTAATTTACTATAGGGCACATGTGCTCACCAGAGAGAGAGAGAGAAAGGTAAAGTTAGTAAGCAAGCAATCAGGTGTGGGACACAAATCACAGTTGGCCATGTAGGAGTCCAACAACTCAACCACCACACCATCTATTCTCACTTTCATTCAGTTAGTGTTAGCATGGTATATCTTTCTCCATCCATTTACTTTCAATCTACATGTTTCTTTATAGTTATATTTATGGGCATGTATGCCCAAGCTCAGGGAGGTTCTGGTATACAAACCCAGGACATTTCCCATGTGGGTGCAGTGGTGTGCTACCACATCACAACCTGCCCTCTAATCTTAGTCTTTTATTGAGTTTCTGCCTTTGGACTGTGAACTTCCCAAGTGCTTCTCAGTTTCCCCTATCCCAACACATACAACACCTTAGGTGGGACAGAGTGGCAAGAGTCAACTGGAGCTGTGTATTTCTCCTCCTTGTGAAAGGCTAGAAAGTGACTTAAGCTGGGTATTTCCCTTCCCCAAAATTAATTAGACTCTAATTAAACCTTACAATTTAAACTGTAATAAAGCAGCTTACCTTGTTAAGAATGTAATGCTCTGGGAAATTTCAAAACGGTTCCTTTCCTCTTCCCATGACAGAGTATGGTGGGATTTTTTTTTTTTACTCTAAATACCTGGTCAAACTCCTGAAGATAAAGCTTACAAAAGTTCGGGGACCCCTTTAGCTGTCTGCCCTCTGGGGTTCTTAACTCTCAGAACTGTCAACTCTAAGCCTGGAGCAATTTGTCAATATTATTTCAGGATTTTCTAACCTGATACTAGTTGCCACAGAGGTTTTGTTTTTCTGCTCCAGTAAGTTGCAATTCTTTGTTTTCACCTATCTTTCAAATTATGGAGGCAGTAGTTTCCCTGTGACTTCAGGGAAAACTGACAGATCTAAAAAGAAATTCTAGGTTTGCTAAGTTTGTTCAGTTTTTTACTCATTGTTAGAATGAAGTAATGACTTTCAAGCCCCTTACACATCCCAGCCAAAAATTAGAAGTCTATCATGCTTTTTGTACGCATTTCTGATATTTAATTCTTATGCAAATTTCATCTAATGAAAAAACCAACCGGGCCAGTCCCACACCTTAGTAATTAAGAAGTCAGATCCCACATGACTGACCATACAG